TAATTAATTAATATTAATTTTTTTTTAAATATTGAAATTTTTTAATTTTTAAAAAAGTTAAATTCAATTAATCTAATGCAAAATTCATGTGGATGAATTATAGATCTATTCCTTCTAATTTAAAATTTAAAATAACTAAATCTAATATATTTAGAATATAAAATAACTCAATTTGAATCTATCTAATCTAATAGATTTAGTGGTATGACTTTTTAAATTGGTTTGAGCAAAATTTCTCTGTATGAATTAAGGAGTTGTTAGCTTGCCTAATCCTAGTTTGATTTCTTAAGCTATTTGAGACTTTTAAGTATTTGAGATTATACCTCTTTGCATATTTTCCCCACCAATCCACGAAATATTAAATCATTAATTACACAATTAATTCTTCCAGTGCTTCTCTTAAACTTATGGCTATTTATTTTGCAGCTTGATTTTACTGGAGCAACTAAAGCAGGAGGCATTGTCCTAAAGGCTGCAACAAAAAATCACAAACCAGTTGTTTTGGAGATTAGGGGAATCCCACTTTTATCGTATGTGAAAATGCTGATGTAGACAAGGCAGCCAAGATGGTTTATGATGTGTTTTTCTTTTATCAGGGATATACAAAACATATATATATATATATATATAAATTAGTAATGATTTATTTGAATATAAATTTTATATATTATGTTTATTTAAAATCTTAATTATTTATTTTTTATTTTTAATTATTAAAATTTATTCATTTTGTATTATATTTATTAAAAATAATTTTTTATTTAAAAAATCATAATAAATTTTAACAATTAAAAATAAATTGTTAATAATACATTGCTCGCTTTGCCTATGAGGTGGTTTTTTTTATTTAATAAGTTTACAATTTAAAAATGTAAGGATTCAAATCTCATCTTTTAGATTAAAGAATGCACCTTATAAACTAACTTATAACCTAATTTATAACTGTTAAGTCCCGGGTCAAATGTACACATGAGGTGGTTTTTGAATCTCCACTGACAGTGGTTTTCTGAAATTTGTCAGATTGATGGAAATCAGTTAATGTAGATGCTGGATTATATACGATCTGTTAAAAATAGTAGAGCACATCTCACACTCTTTTTTGTAATTTATCAATTCCAGTACTTTAATGTTGAATTAAATCACTCCACATACTCTTTGATTGAATTAAAGAGAAAGGCATCAAGATAGAAAAGTAGCATCGAGAGTGTGCATATGGCCTCTTGCAACAATGTCCCTACTGCCGCTGGATCAGGTTTGTATTTAAAAAACAATTTTA